GGTCAAGGAACACATAATGCTACAATATCAGCAAATTTATGACCTACTTGCATTCTTCATTTGTAGGTGATGCATTAAAGTGTAATGAAAGAAAAAGTTCAGAAATATATAGAATAATTTTGTTTTTTCTGGTCAGAATTAGCACTTACATCGTGTTTCACATTTTAATCCCGAAGGGATTGCGCTAACAGCTTTTTTTATTTAAGGTGGTATTGTTTCAAGGGAGAAATGGCGGACTTTTGGACTTACGTAAAGTTACTTTGAGCTACTTTAAGCTACTTCGATTTACTTCGAAGTACTTTAAGCTATTTCAAATAATTTACTTTCACCTACTTTTCAACTTCAGGGTGTGAACAGCAGTCAAGACTAGTTTCATCCTTGCTGAAGGGAATCATCAGTTGACAAATGATCTAAATGATAAAATTAAATTTAAAAAATCACAAGAAAAAAATATATCTGACATAAATATAGAATTAAATTAGCTCATATATAAATGTTGATAATTTCAAATAACTGTAGTGTGAACAGCTACGATGATCTATAAAGTTGTTTTTCCCATGTTTGAATGTTAATTTTTGATTAATTAATTGTAGGCATATATCTGAAAGAAAAAGAAAGTTAGAAGGTTTTATGAAATTTCATTGGATTAATTTCTGAATCAGGGTGATATGTTTTTATTTTTTATTTTTGTTGAAGGATACATTAATTAATTATTGATAGGAATTATTTTTCGAAGTTTTTATTATTGTGTTTTTATTGTTTTTGGATTTATCATCCTTAGGAGAGAAACTTCCTGGTCATTGGTATTCGGTCTATGGAGGCTTGATGATAGTTGTAGTTTGTTGTCGAGTTGTTCTTGGCTTTTCGAATTTTCCTAATTAATGGTAGCAAAAGAGGGGTTTTAATTTTTTTTGTAAAGCTATGAGATAAATCATATTTGTTACAGTTGTTTGACTCACTTTTGGGTATTTTTTTATTTTGTAACAATGCTTGGTGCGGTCGTTTGCGTATTAGCTCATTGTGTGTTTGACGACGGATGCAGTAGCCTACGATTAATTTTGTGTACATTGCTGGTGTATCTTTAAATGTATCGTGGTATACTTGATGCATATCTCGTTTGCATGTTTTGAAACGTTTTTCGTATGTATAATGAGTGAAGAATTTTTCGTTGATGTTTGAATTTTTTTCTTCAGATTTTTTTGGCCTGGGCTTGGTTGTTGTCTCTCATCATCATCTGGTGGATCGTTATCAATGTCAGCCAATGCTGCACTCAGTGCCACTTGTGTTTGTCGAGGTGTTGGTTGACCTAATATTTGTTTTCGCATAAGAA